AGAAATCAGGACGAGCGGGAGGGAGCACAGTGGAATGAAGGGGTACGAACCGCTTGCGCTCAACGAGGTCGAATTTGGGCACTTGGGTCGGCCGGTGCGCGACCACGTCGTTGAGAAAGGCCTCGAGTAGCTTCCAATCAAATGCGTCTGGTGATGTTGGGTGGAGAAGCAGCGTCAGATCACGGCTGACCGGTCAGATGAAGTGCAAGAGACAAAAGGCCGCACCAGGATGGTCAAAGTTGAAGTTGCCCTCTGTGGGAGGTTATGTACGTCAGCATCAGCTCCATTTCGCGCACAGAGCACCAGCACCAGCACAAATTACCATTGGCAAGCTCGACCTCGTCAGCCGTCAAGGGCCGGTAGAAATCGGAGAGCGAGACGGTGGCCATGCGGCGGTGGAGCCTTGGGTGCTTTTCGCTGAGCGTCTCGGTGATGTAGGCACAGACTTCTTTCTGGAGTTCGAGGATTGCAGCGCGGCCACGCGTGCGCGAGCGCCCTGTCGTCAGCGTCGTGGTGTCGAAATGGTGCACGGCGAGCAGATTGTCGTCGTGGCTGTTGCTTTCATGTTGGTGAAGAGTGATTGGGCACCTTGCCGCTCGCGCTGCCGCCGGCCACGCCGATAATAAAGGGGAAGTTCATGGCGCCGGAGTCCTGATGCTGCTGCTCGTCACGGTGGTTGGATCGCTGCTGATCGGCGCCTTGGGCGTCGTCGACAAGACTTGGCAAGACTCGAAGAAGTGGCAGCCGGCGCCGAGATACGATCTGGCGTGAGCAAGCGTGCGGGGGAGGCGAAGGTTCGAAGCACCGCCCCCCAGCCGGAGCTGGTCACGCGCAATAGTCGCCTCTCGAGGTGTTCACGCGACATGCTCGTGCCAGTCGGCGTGCCCCCAGCTCACCTCGCGGTCACCAACCCACGCCAACAGCCAACGGCGCCTGTTGCGTGACGAGCCGCCGCTCTTCGACGACGTTTCTGCCACCACCGCACTCACGCCGCCCCCCGGCACTCGCTGCATTTGCACCGCGTGTGCTGCGGCCGCGCTCTGCGCTATGCCTGTTGCCACCGCCGCCGTCAACGCCGCCAACATGGCCCGCCCAACGTCGGTGCCAGTGACTCCCCACGCCCTGCCCGCTCAGCCCGTGCCCGCACCCGTCTCGACGAGCGTGCCGCCGCGTTCTCCCGCCACGTCGGCTGCCGCACTCGCCTTTCTGTCGGGCATTTCGCTGACGGCCTCCAGTGCGCGTCGCGCCGCCAAGCGGCACTCGTCGCAAGTCGCCTCGGCCGCACCCAAGTACGCCGCCCCCGCGTCGGTCGCATCCACGAGCGTATCTTCATCGCCGGCCTCGTCGGCTGCATCCGTCGTTGGCCCGTCCCTGCCCGTCCCGCTCGATGCCGCCGTCAAGCTCGACCAATTTGCCGAGGCGCCCACGGCAACGCCCACATCGGCGCCGACCGTGTCCGCAGCGACCCAGCATCGCATCACTCCAGCGACGCCGCAACCCCCACTCTCGCCGCGACACGAGGCGGCACTTTCGTTCCTGCTGCACATCCCGCTGCACCCCGTGCACCCCCCGCCGCTTCCGGCGCCGTCCATACCGTGGCCGCGTCCGGACGACGACGGTTTTCGAATACCGGACGCACACACGCCGCTGCGGCCCGTTCCGGCCCTACCGGCGCTCTCCACGCAGTCCCTTCCGCAGTCACATCATGACGACGACGCCTCGACGAGCTCGAGCTCCAATGATTCGGCCCCGACGCCTTCGAGTACCGCTGCCGCGAGCCCCGCGGCGATCCGCGCGCAGTATGCGCTCTCGCACGCGGCCGACCAGCCAAAACGGTCGCAGTGGGTCCTGGCTAACGGCCCACCGCTGGGGCGGTCGACTTTGTTCCCGTACCGCGCCAACGACAGTACTGCGACCGTGACGGTGGCGAAACACGAGTCACGCCCGGCATTGCGCCGTCGCGGGCGCGCGAGTAACGCCGAGTCGTACGCGCACCTGCTGCTGCCGACCGGCGCATTGTGCGCGCCCGCGTCCCCCGCGGCCAGCACTCGACCGGCACCGCACTCGGCCCCTGTGCGCGACGAGTGGGACGACTCGGACGACGAAGCCGATTTGCCGCGCGCCGGATGGCTCGCCCGCCGACCGCGCAGCCACTCGGACGCCGTCGAGCACTCGCCCTGCGCCTCGCCCACGCGCGCGCCGACGTCGTCGCACCATCTCGGCGACGACGACTCCGTGGACCTGGTCTCGGCCGGCGCCGACTTGCTGCACCACCACCACCCGGCGGCGCACGCGTCCGGGTCCGGTTACGACCCGAATTATCTCGACGATCCGGCATTGACGACGGGCCGGCACAAGACGGTCATGGCATTGCCGGGCATGCTCGGTTCGATCTTGCAGTACACGCGACCCGAGGACGTGAAGCAGGACTTGAACGCGCGGTTCCGCGCGACGCATCCGGATGTGGATCCGTCGTTGACGTTGTCGCAGATTCGCAATTTGAAGCGGCGGTTGATCAAGGTCGCGCAGATTTGCGTACGTTCTTGTTGGATATTTTTTGCGGGTCGCACGCGAGCAGGGATTGACACGATTTTGTACGGATTTGTAGGACCTGGAAATCTCAAGCGTCGCCAAGGCCTTTGTCTACTTTGAGAAACTCGTACTCAAGGTCCGCACTTCTCCACCTTTTCTGCTGTCACGCTCGCACCTTTCCTCACATTCTCCTCCCACCCCACCCACAGCGCATCGTCCAAAAACCGAACCGCCGGCTCATCGGCGCGATCTGCCTGCTGCTCGCGACCAAGGTCAACGAGCCCAAGGGGTTCAAGTTTGGCCCGCTGCTTGATACGCTCGCCAAGGAACTCGGCGTCTCGGCCAAGGCCATTCGCGAGCACGAGTTTCAGACGTTTGCGCAGCTCGAGTTCAATCTCTACCTGGCCCCCGCCGAGTTTATTCCGCACTTTGAGCGCATCTTTGCGACACTCGGTATGTTGTGGCCACGGTCGGAAAGTGGGATGCGGTGGATGGATGGTGGACTGACGCGCGTGGGTGATGGTAGAGTATAACGACGTGCAGGAGTATCTCGGCGAGACGCAGTTCTTCCTCGCGCGATAGCCTCGGCCGTGGAGAAGCGAGCCGCGGCGGCGAGATCGGGTGCAGGGATTGGGTTTGTTGCGATGGGCGTGTGATATTTTAGCCAAAAGGCGTTCTTCTTCGTGCAGTTGAGAGCCGCAAAAGAGTTGCATGCGTGTGAGTACGGGAGCAGGATGGGTGCATCACAGCAGCTATTCTCGCTTCAGGATTGCTCCTCCCATCGAGCAAAAGCTGGGTTGGGTCGCTGAAAAGCCTCTCGTCGTCCTACTGGGACCCTACACTCGTTTCGTGTGATTTTGCACTGTTCAGGAGTCGAACCTGGGCAAACCATTTCGTGGTAATCGCTAACAATGCTGACCGCGGTCCCTTGAGCGACCCGATGCAAGGCTTGTTTCGCATAATTGTGTCTCCTAAGCAGCAATCTTGTCGCACCGCGGCACAAGGAGTTTGCTAATACAATGCTGGCCGTACAGCTTTCTTGTGCTGAAAATGTATGTATTGCTGCTGCGACCGTGCCCATATCATCAGGATGCGCAACTGCCAGCACGCCAGGATAATTGGCTCAGCAGAACTCACAATCTCGCCACTCAGCGGGACAGAATCACGACAATCTTGGGCTTGGGCTTAGAATCGGTTGCGTTTTCTCTTCCAACATCTCCTCTCGACCTCATCATTTTTGTTTGGTCCGCTCAAGCCTGTGAGTCTGGTGTAGCAGCCCAACTGATCAAAAAATGGGAACGCCTTCAGATAGTTCTCAGGCTGTACAGCTAGAGTTTCTTAGAGCAGTTCCGCAAACCACTTCTAGCGCAAAACCTTGTGACACCACATCACTGCTCGAGGGGACGCAAGTCCTTCTGCTGCTGCTGCTGCTACTGGCGCTGAATGCCTGCTACTGGCGCTGAATGGCACTGCTGATGGCGTAAACCCGATCCTGCTGCGGCCGTTGCGATGCCTGTTGTCACGCTTCCTTGTTGTTACGGTAGATTACATTGAGCGCCAGCAACCCACGACTGAATGCGACTAATCTGCAGCAATCCCACCCAATTCTGCAACAAGCAGCCCGATTTTTCTGCAGATACCTTCAATTCATAGTCATAGGGATCACAAAATGGCTGGGGGATGTTCACTCAGCAGCTTCAACCTTGAATGCGTCCGTTACCGCTCCAACACGTTTTCAGATCACAAGCGGCGCTGTGAAAGAATGACGTTGTGTTGCTGGATTTTTATGCTTCCATCTCGACTCTTCGATGCCGGGATAGGTGAGTCGTGTTGCGATGGCAGGACCAGCGACCTGTGCTGGTGCCGTGAGTGTGCCCAGATTGGGTATGCGAGAGACGAGTGATTGAACGTGGGCGGGTCGCGTCACATCGTTGCACAAAGCATCGCTGTGCATTTCTGCACCTTCTCCATCCGGTTTGACCGCCGAAATCGCGCGGGCATGGCACATCAGGTTGGGACAGGCGACGTGCTCACAGCGATGAGGAGATTTCCGGCCGTGCGCTTTCGTTCCGCCACAGCCAAAGCAAACGTACAGCTAGAGACAACGCTGGGCGCGCAGCGCCAGCACCAAGTCTCAGCAGGGCATCATTCGTTGTTCGCATGTAAAAATGTGAGCAAGCAGGAACAACCAATCAAGTGGACCACGAGTGGAGAATCGTTGAAAATATTGCCGCACTGGACCAAGAGCAAAATATGCAAGCGGCGACATGATCCTGCTGGCAGCCTTTACCCGTTAAAAAAGAGCAAAAAGAACATTTCTGCCAGGCCCCCATCCAATTCACAGCGTGCACCTTGCCGCCACGTCTCTCAAGTCCGTCCAAAGAAAATGGAAATGGAGAAATTTATACAAAAAACGGCAAGTTGTACGGAATTCCATCTTCGCCTGGTTTTGACCGAAGAAATGTTTCTTGCACCGCCCAGGAATCGAACCTGGGTCAACCATTCCTGTTAGCAGAATGGTGTTAACCATTTCACAACAGTGCGATGTTCATATTTGTAGCACACGAGCTTCATTCATGCTGGCGCTGTTCTTCCACAAGTCCTCATGCATTCGTCATTATTGCCCTCTGTTGTAATTCATCAAGCCTGGCATGGATTGCAACAATGGGTACCTGTCACGCTCTGAGCAGAGATGTAGGTAATCATTGGCCAGAACGGCCAAAACAAAGCACATCCCTGATTCGTGATTGGGCTCAATGAAAGGCCAATCGATACTCGATTGCTCCTCGATCAAACTTCGATCCAACATTTCTGGGAAGACTAGGCTTGATCATCCTCGATTAGGGACGTTCCGCACCATGTCCACACGATCGTACTGCATTATCTATGATTCAGGTATGATCATGGGACGTTTAGCCTCGACTCAAGATCGCATAGGCTGGATGGGGCGTGGCCAGGTTGGATGGACCCTGGATTGTACCTATCCCAATTTGAATCTGGCCATGATTTGACCTAGGCCATTTGTGATCTTGTTTGCTATAGGCTTGATCAGATCTAGGCCAATTGTGATCGAGTTTGCGCTAGTCTTGATCAAACCTAGCCGCTCTTGAATCACACTTTGAATATCTTTGGCCTAGGTGTGATCCATCTTGCGCTAGTCTTGATCATGCCAAGGGCTCCCATAATCGTGCCAAGTGCTCTCACGATCGTGCTGAGGCGGCGCTGAATCCACCCTCAATCGCATCTAGCGCAACCTGAACTGAACCTGAATCGGACCTTGCCCAGCCACGATCAAACCAAAACGAGGTTGGATCAAATCAAATCACAAGCGAACCCGACAATACGCCCCAGACAACCGTGCCAGCAATCGTACTGAGCTCCTCTACAACCCGCATCCGACCAAAAGTGCACCAATCACGTTCAAGTACCATCAAGCTGTGAGTTCGTGCCTTCTGGCGGCCGCGTCACGCGTGCGAGGCCTGCGCGCGAGTCCATGACCAAGCACAGCTGCATGAGGTTCATCTTGCACAGGAGCACCTACCCGCCGTTTATGTGCAGGTCCGCAGCCTTGTCGATTATGTGGTACCGCGACTTGCCGTGCTTGGGCCCGAACCACGCGTGGCCATTCTCCATGATGAGGTGCACCTTGTTGCTGTCGGCCACCGGCCTCTTTCACTTCTGCTCAATGCGCACGTCGACCTACGTGAAGAAATGGTGAAAGTGAGCGTCAGAAACACGACCAAGCAGTCGAAGCGCGAATGGAAGGTGATTGACGCACACAGGAGAATGCGGATGCTCGCAGAATGAGTTGATGCCGCCCTGCTCGGTGGACATGGTGAGGAGCTACATGCAGGTCGCAATCATGAAACAGTCGGGGCGAGTTAGTCCAACAGCGCCATCACCACGGACACCAACACGTACAGCGTCATCGAAATCGGATCCTTGACGCGATCATCGAGCCCGTACTCCCGTCGAGCCAGTCGGTGAGTGGCAACCCCATCAAGCCTGTTGGTGAGCAGCAACCTTGTTGGCCCACCATCGACCTGGCCCTGCATGGCCTTGGTTGGGCATTGTCGACCTTGACGCGTCATAGTTCGACCACAATGACTTCTCGATCCTGATCTACGCTGGAGGAGCGACACGCGGTCAAAAAACCGGATCTCTGTGTCGCGCGCGCAAAAACTTCTTCCCATGCGTACCTTCTCAGAAGACACTGTCACAGTGCTGCCCCTTAACGTGTCGCCCAGCCTTGAGAGGCGACGCGGCTTCGCCCGCTGCCGAACTCGAGCTTGATCACAGTTTTGATCATGGGCGAGTTCCAGGACGTGATGGGCGTGCGCAACATGGTTGGTTTGGAGGTGCTTTCCAACGCTGACGCGTTCGAGTCATTCGGCCACGTCATCGACATGCAATGCCAGGTCCATGTTTGCTGTCTCGCTCCTCGCCACGCACACGCCCATGATTCGTTTGTCTGACCTCCGCTGGTGTTGTCGCCTTCGTCGCATTTGTGTTTTCCTTTTCATTTCATTCTCCACCCCGTTTTTCGCGCCTGCGCCGCCTGGCCACAGCCAAGCGTGCACGACCAAAAGGACTTGGGGGCCTGCAACTGCTGCTTCTCTTTGCTCGCACGCTTCCGCCCCATCCTGCTTTTGTGTGTGCTCGCGTCTGTTGGCCAGATCCTCGCCACCGCCCTCTTGTGGTCCTGCTCGTCCTGTTTCCGGTTTCGAGGCGCAATATGTACAACGCGCCACTGGTTTCTCGAGTTCTCCACAAGCGTGATTGCTTGGTTTGGTACGGATTCGTCATCACGCGCAGTCGCTGGGGAGCGCTCGCATTTGAGACTCATGGACGCGGTTCGTCTACGACTCGTGCGAGCGACGAGACGGAGCAGGAAGACGAACGTTCAGGGGCGGTTTGGAATGGCTCGCACACGCAGAAGTTCTTCTGTTAGTGATCGTCTTGCTATCTTTGGCACACTCGACCCACTGCCTCCCCACCTTGTCCATCCCCCATCTTCACCCGTCCGATGTTTGCTACCTCTGAAACCATTGTGTGCCCCCACCGCGTCCATGGGTATGCTCATGGTCACGTTCTTGGCCGGACTCGTGGCCTCACTTGTGATTGTGCTTGCTGAGAGCCGAATCCTGGCCGTATCTGGTCCCGTGCCACACCCGTGGTCGCTCGAGTCGGGACCATGAACCGATTGCGGGCGTGTTCACGGTGTGGAACGCACGTGTCAAGCATCTGCGAGGATGACCTCGTTTGGGTGAGCAGACACGCGTCAGGTGGCCACAGAGCGGTTCGCTTGCAAGTGTACCTTCGTCGCTCTTCATCCACGTTTCTTAGAGCGCTTCAAGGCCGAGAAATGGTGGTGCTGCACCGTGGGAGTGCGGAGAGTGACTGGCTGGAGTCAGCGGGGACGAGCGTGGCGAATGGGCGTCGCGCGGCAGAAATTGTGGGCCATGTTGCTCACAGCGGTGGCGCGGCGGCGCTGGTGGTGGATGGCGAAGAGGAGGGGGCGCAACCAAGGTTGAGTCGTTCAGCATGTCATCATTTCGACAAACAGTCCTTGCCACAGCCCTGCACGAGTTTCACAATCATTCGCACCAGTATTATTCGTTGTCCTTCGTCGCTTTTCTCAGAATCTGTGCATTACGCACAGTCGCATCGACCGCGGAGATCTTTGACGCTGCTGAAGTGACCAGCTCCCATCTGTGCTTGGCGTGTGATTGCTTGTTATGAGCGTGGTCATGTCGCATTCCATACTATGATCGGCGCTGCTGCCGCGGATGCAGTGGGCTCGTTGTGGTGCTGGTGCTCGCCGAGGTCTACTGCACTACACTGCCGTGGTTGTGGTTGAGGAGGAGGACGTGATCTTGCTGCCGAATGACGAGAAGCACGTTTTGCTGTTGATTCTCGCTGCATGCTCGTCACTGCAGGCACACGGACCCACAGCATTGAGATCGAGTTGCGCTTGCAATATATAATCGATTGCAGTTGGGGCCCACCCGTCAACACCACTGGCAATGCTCTTTTGTGATAGCAGCTTGTTGCACGTTGTGGAAGTGGGGGAAGAGGCACCGGGGAACCCACAAGGGGATAGGACGCGTCGTTGCACCGTCCAAGAAGAATCTATCGTAGAAGGGCCCACCGACCGTGTGTTGGGGGAAAGTAGAAGCGATGCAACCATGTGTGCAATGGACGAACTTGACATCAGGAAGCGACCCAACAGAACCAGCAACGATGTGATAGTGGCAGGCTTTATTGATCAATCCGACACGAACCTGGACGAACTCGACTTCAGGAAGCGACCCAACGGAACCGGCAACGACGTGATAGTGGCAGGCTGCCGCTCATCGCAGGGCTGTGGGTGCACCATCCTTTTGAGTCTGCCCAGCACGCAACTGCCTATCGCAGTGCGCTCAGTCGCGCGCGTTCCTCTGCGCCGTGCGACCACGACAAACCAAGTGCTCCAAGTGTGAGAAAGAGAGACAAAGAGGGGGGAAAGTATGAGAAGAAGGGGAACGAAAAGGCACTTGATCCAGCCCTTTGCGTCGCTCCCTTGGCGCAGGACAACCATGGATTTGCAATCCATGCGTGCCATCACAAACAAGCGGTACCAATGATGCAAGTTGAGCAAGAACTTGGTTTTCCAGACCGGGACGTACGAGTCAAGAGGAGCACATGCGAGGATGCGTTCCAAGTCTTGAAAGAACCGCTTGCTGTGACGGACGCGTTTTGAGATCCATTCCGTTCTCCAGCATTGAAATAATCTTGAGAGTCGCTTTCAGCTGCTGGTTCCAGCCCTGGTCATCCCAAGCCCACATGTCGATTCGACTTGCAAGAATTTGGGATGTGGCCTTGAATGCCTCCCACTGGCATTCGCGCGAAGATGATGGCAATCGACGCCGCAAGGACATGGCCGACTGCATGAGCTCTTGAATCTCCACTGCCAACTGGTACCGCTCGCCCCAGTCTATGGTCCGATTCCGTCGTCAGCTTGCGGTTACAACATGAGAACAGGAGCGTGTTCTGTGTCCTGAAATCATTCACTTCCGTACCATTTTCTGGCGCCACAGCTGGCGTTGATGCGACTGTGGTGGGCAACAATGGAACCAGAGCTGCAGTTGCTTGAATCGTAAGCGGCGACCCAGGCGGGGCGGTCTCTGCCTCTAAAATGGGCCTTGAAAGCCGCCTGCACCTGCATGCATCCCCTTGTGCGTCGACATTGAGGAATTACTGCTGCTGGATGGATTCTGTGCGGCAGCTGGTTGGCGTACTTTTCTGGTTTCCTTGTCCCGCACAGAACAGCGAAACACGCCTGCGATAATGTTCGAGAGCCGGGGCGTGCTGGTCTTGGGTCGTTCCGGCGAGCCTGAGGAGGGCGGAGGAGGAACCGACAAGGAATTGTGAGATTTCGGTGCGCCGAGCACCAGCAAGAGCATCAATGTTAGTATTCTCGACAGTGACAAGGCAATGTCGTGTGCTGGTGTCAATCACCCATTTCCGTACCAGTTGGTTCACGTGTTGGTCATGCTCGCAAT